CCTGGTGGTCACAGGCAGTAGCTGGATTTGCACCTCCTGGGAGGCCCCAGAGCCAGTGCACCTGGGGCTAACCATTAGACCATACCCCTTTACAACCCTACCACCTCCATGAGCAACCAATTCAAGGGGTGGACCCAGAGAGCACTAAGTCCCCACTGAAGTAAGTCCTGCTCCATAGTGTTGCTCTTTTTCTATACTCACAGCTGGTTCTCACAGATTGGCCTGGAGGTCAGTCCCTCCTAGTGATGCCAACAACAATCTAGGCTCAACTACAACAGGACAGTGCACACTCTCCACACAGGGATGCAACTGGAGTGCCCAGCTTAGGTGAGTAGGGAGGCTGAGTCACTGGGTCCTACAGGAAACCTACTACACAAGGCCACCCTACCAAATCTGGGAGACATGGCAGCTCTACTAATACATAGAAACAAACACAAAGAAGCAGCAAAAATCCAGAGACAAAGAAACATGTCACACATGAAAGTATAGGAGAAATCTCCAGAAAAAGAACTAAATGACATGAAAGCAAGGGAACAGATACAAAATTCAAAGCAATGGTTATAAGGATGCTCAAGGAAGACCTTCAACGAACTTAGAACATTAACAACATAAAAAAGGACCGGTCAGAAATGAAGGACACACTAACTGAAATGAAGAATAATTTACAGGGAATCAACTATAGAGTAGAGGACACTGATACAATAATCAAATTAGCTATTTGGAATGTGAAGAAGCAAAAAACACCCCATTAGAACAGCAAAGAAAATAAAGAATAAAAACATACGAAGATAGTGTAAGGCGCCTGAGGGACAACTTCAAGCGTACCAATATTTGCATCATGAGGGTGTTGAAAGGAGAAGAGAGGGAACAAGAAATTGAAAACCTATTAGAAGCCTGGGCAGTGTGGCTCAGTTGGTTGAGTATTGTCCCATGAACCAAGAAGTCACTGGTTCAATTACTGGTAAGGGCACATGCCTGGGATGTGGGCTCAATCTCCAGTAGAGAATGTGAAGGAGGCAGCCAATCAATGGTTCTCTCTCATCGATGTTTCTCTTTCTCCCTCTTCCTCTCTCTGAAACCAATAAAAACATATTTTTAAAAAGCCCACCTTAAAAAAAACAAAAAAAAAAACAAACTTATTTAAAAAAATTAATGACAGGAAACTTCCCTTACCTGGTGAAAGAAATAGATGTACAAGTCCAGGAAGCACAGAGAGTCCCAAACAAGATGAACCCAAAGTGGTTCACACCAAGATACATCATGATTAAAATGCCAAAGATTAGAGACAGAGAATCTAGCCCTGGCCGGTTTGGCTCAGTGGTTAGAGCATCGGCCTGCGGTCCGGAGAGACCAGGGTTCGGTTCCCGCTAAGGGCATGTACCTCGGTTGCAGTTTGTCCCTGGCCCTGGTTGGTCGTGCGGGTGGCAGCCACTCGATGTGTCCCTTTCACATCGATGTTTCTCTCTCTCTCTCTCTTCCTCTCTCTCCCTCCCACTCTGTGCAAAAAATGGAAAAAAAATGTCCTCGGGTGAGGATAAATTAAAAAAAAAAAAAAAAAAAAAGGAGACAGAGAATCTTAAAAGCAGCAAGAGAAAAGCAGTTAGTTACCTACAAGGGAGCACCCATAAGACTGTCATCTGATTTTTCAACAGAAAATTTTCAGGGCAGAATGGAGTGGCAAGAAATATTCAAAGTGATGAAAAGCAAGGACCCATAACCAAGATTACTCTACTCAGCAAAGCTGGGTAGAATTGAAGATCAAAGAGTTTCCCAGAGAAGATCAAGCTAAAGGAGTTCATCATTACCACCAAACTAGTATTACATGAAATGTTAAAAGGTCTTTGTTAAGAAGAAGAGCCCTGGCCAGTTTGGCTCAGTGGTTAGAGCATCAACCCACGGACCAATGAGTCACGGGTTCAGTTCTGGTCAAGGGCATGTATCTCAGTTGAGGTTTGTCCCTGGCCTTGGTCGGGGTTGTATGGTAGGCAACCCGTCGATGTGTTTCTCTCACATTGATGTTTCTCTCTCTCTCTCCCTCCCACCCTTCTATGCACTCTATCTGAAGATAAAATGGAAAAATATCCTCAGGTGAGGATAAAAAAAAAAAAGGAGGAGGAAAAAAAAAGATAAAAAATACGAACAATATGCCCAGGCCAGTTTGGTTCAGCGATTAAAGCGTCAGCCCTGGGACCAAAGAGTGGTGGGTTCGATTCCAGTCAAGGGCAGGGTTGTGGTTTGGTCCCCAGCCCTGGTCAGTGTTGTGCAGGAAGCAACCAATCGATGTGTCTTTCTCACATTGATGTTTCTCTCTCTCTCTCCCTCCCTCCTCCCACTCTATCTGAAGATAAATGGAAAAATGTTATTGGATAAATTAAAAAAAAAAAAATGTATATGTACACACACACACACACACACACACACACACACAAACTAGCCCTGGCTGGTTTGGGTCAGTGGTTAGAGCATTGGCCTGTTTACTGAAGGGCTGCTTTGATTCCCAGTCAAGGGCACATGCCTGAGTTGCAGGTTTGATTCCCTGGCCTCAGTCCAGGCACGTGCAAGAGGCAAATGACAGATGTCTCTCTCTCACATCAATGTCTCTCTCTCCCTTCCTTCCACTTTCTCTAAAAAGCAATAGAAAAATATTCTCAGGTGAGGATAAAAAAAAAGAACAAAATGGCAATACATATCTATCAACAATTGAATCTAAAAATTAAATAAACAAGCAGAAACAGACTCATAGATACATAGACCATTCTGACAGTTGCCAGATAGGAGGAAGGTTGGGGGATAGGTGAAAAAGGTAAAGAGATTTAGAAGTACAAATTAGTAGTTACAGTGTAGTCATAGTGGTATAAAGTATAGCATAAGGAATACAGTCAATATTCTAGTAACTCTGTATAGTGTCAGATGGGTATGAGATTTTATGATTTGATCACTTAATAAGTTTTATATTATCTAATCACTGGGGTATACAGCTGAAACTAATATTGTATGTCAACTGTAACTGGAAAATAAAAAATGATTAAAAAACAGTGACTATCCCAGGGATATGAAGTACAGCATAGGAAATATAATCAATAATATTGAAAGAGGTATGTATGGTGTCAGATGGGTACTAACAGGGGTATCACTTTGTAAGGTATGTAAATGTCTAATCACTATGTTATACACTTGAAATTTAAAATTACATGTCAATTTTAATAGAGAAATAGATTTTACAGTATTTTTAAAAAGGCGATTATCCTTTTTAAATGTGCCATACTCCTTATCAATCTATATCCTTTTTTAAAATTTTTTTTTATTTTTATTTTTTATCCTCACCCAAGGACATTTTTCCATTTTTTGTTCAGGTAGAGTGGGAGGGAGAGAGAGGAACAGAGAGAGTGAGAGAGAAACATTGACGTGAAAGGAACACATCGAGTGGCTGCCGCCCGCACAACTGACCAGGGCCGGGGACAAACTGCAACCGAGGTACGCGCCCTTAGCGGGAACCGAACCCGGGTCTTTCGGGACCGCAGGCCGACACTCTAACCGCTGAGCCAAACTGGCCAGGGCTCAATCTATATCCTTGAATCATGGGCCAAGGGTCACCGCAATGTACTTCTCTACACCCATAATCCTTGCCTTATGCTGAGAGATCACAGTGGGGGCAAGTAACTTAGCTGGACCTGGTCATACACTTCTCCATTTAGAAATCTAGACTGTGTAGAATAAAAAAAAAAAAAAAATCTAGACTGTGTCGTGGTGCTCAAGAAGTAGGAGTGTCTTCTTCACTTTATCTTTTCCCTTCTAGCAGCTTGCAGCTGGTGTTGAAAGTGATGGAGTTCTTACTTTAGGCAGCTGTCAGTTGGAGCCCAGGCCTGGCAGGCCACTTCAGAGGAGCAGGCCACATGGGCTGAGCAGAGGATCCAGAGGTGACCCATAGGCTCCAGCTGGCTCCCCCAGATTTGTGAGCACTTTGTTCACTGTCAGGAGGCAGGCCAAGAGCTATGGCATCTCCAGACTTCCTGATGACAGGTCCTGCAGCCCACTCCTCCCCACTACCTAGTCAGGGAGCACCAGGGAGTCTCCGCCATTGGCCAAGATGGCACAGAGGGAGGTTCTTACATTGAGCAGGCCAAAAGCTAGAAAGATGAATGGATAAGGCCCAAGTGTGCCCAAAGCTAGTGAGATAACTGGATAGAAAAAAAGTCCTCTCCTCCCTTTCCCTATAAAAACCTTGGACTTAAGCAAGAAGGGGAGGATGATCTTTGAGACAGGAGTCCACCATTCTCCCAGGTTTCAGCACCTGAATAAAACCTCTTTCCTTTTGCATCAGCACCTGTCTCAGAGTGTGGCTTTTGCTGTGACAGGCAGCTGAACTTGTTTTCAGTTATAGAGTCACACATAAAAGAAATCTGGGTCCAGCCCTGGCCGGTTTGGCTCAGCAGTTAGAGCATTGGCCTGCGGTCTGGAGAGACCCGGGTTTGGTTTCTGCTAAGGGCATGTATCTCGGTTGCAGTTTGTCTCCGGCCCTGGTTGGGTCAGGTGGGTGGCGAGCACTTGATATGTCCCTTTCACATTGATGTTTCTCTCTCTCTTTCTCCCTCTCATGCTATCTGAACAAAATATCGAAGGATGTCCTCAGGTGAGGATAAAAAAAAAAGAAATCTAGGTCTGAATCAACACATTAGAGCTGACCACAGACCTGGAACACCTAGTTGAGAGTGCATTAGAACGCAAGTCATGGGTTGCCTCTCTTCTAGAGTTTGCTCAGGTCCCCAGTACTTCTTTCTTCCTTAACTCTTAGACACTAGGTACATAGTCAGGCTAGGTCAGAGCAATGACGACAGGCTTTGGGATTTCTTTCCACTATATCAAGCTGTTTCTCTGAGCCTGTTTCCTGTTCTGTTAAATGTTGCAAGAACCCTGCCAGGATGGTCTAGATTAGTGGAGTCTTAGGTGGACTCCAGGAGGTGGAGTGAGGAGCAGAAGCACAGTGGAGTGCTGTAACCCCTGCCTCTGACAAGACCACAGCAAGCCTCATCTGAAGGCAGGCTCTTCTACTACAAGTTGGAAAATTGTTGGAAAGCACCCCCTCAACAACCTCCCCCAATATCACTCTAGGGAATCTATTTTCCAGCAGATGGAAAGTTTGTGAATCAAGAGATCATATGATTTCTAAGGGCCCCTTTAGTTTGATTCTCTTAAAACCAAAGACCAAAAACCTTGAGGGTGAGCCCGAGAATGAATTCATGTAACTACAAATGGTTTAGAGTTTATTAAGTAGAGCGTGGATAAAGTGCAGCAGACATAGATGTATGCAACACCCAAATGGAACTGAACCACAGATTCCTTAAAAAAATCTGTCAGTTACTCAATTGGCCATTTCCTCCCCGACTGGCACAGGGGCTTGTCAGGGGAGATGAGGGAATAAGTTCAGTGGCAGGATCGGTGGTTGCTCCTGGGGCTGGGAATGATCTCCAGGGAGCTTTCAAGGTCAGGCTATGGGCTCAGGGTCTAGACTTCAGAGCGGATACTGCCAGACCCACCAAGATGGCTGTGACCATGAAGCCCTGGGCAGCATCTGGGTGCACATCATGAGCTGGGAGCACTGGCTCGGACCCCGGTGGAAGCAGTAGGTAAGGGCCTGTGCCCAGTCAGCCTGAGGAAGGGACAAAATATGTTGTGAGTGGTGAGAAGGACAATGAAGGTCCCTTCCAGCTTCAGCCTTTCTTCTGCAGGGTGAATATGTCGAAACAGCAGGCAGCTGGGCAGGTGTTGCTGAATGGACTGAGCATCAGCCCATGGACTGAGAGGTCATGGTTTGATTCCTGATCAGGGCATGTGCCAGGGTTGCAGGCTCAATCCCCAGTAGGGGATGTGCAGGAGGCAGCTGATGATGTTTCTCTCCCACAAGGATGTTTCTATCTCTTCCTCCCTTCCCCTTTCTATAAAACATCAATTAAAAACTACTTTAAAAAAACCAGCTGGGGGTAATCTAGGGTGGGGCCTAGGTGGGAAGTGTTGGTCCAGGCAGAGTTTATGGTGTTAACAAAGTCCTCTCCATCTCAGGTCAATTTTTCTGCTCGTCACCCTTCATCACCGCCCCCTTCTCATTCTGGACCCCCTGACGTCACAGGTCCGCCCCTATTTCATGCCCCCCCCATCACTGTTCTCGTGGTTTGCAGTTTTTACAGCACCCCCTTACCTATTGGTACTATTGTGTTTTCGTGTGCTTCTTTTAGATCTTTTCCTTAAAGCTTTTCGTTGTTTTAGAGTACTCTCTCTCAAGGGCCTTTCAGGTCCAACACGCCATCACACCTGGGCATCAAGTCGTTCTGCCCGACTACCCCTTTCTCTCCATTGTTTTGGCCTACGCCGAGGCATCTGCCGGAGGGGACAGAAAGCTGTCCTCTGAGTTGCAGCCTCAGGTTGTTTCAGCTGCAAAACAAATGACTGAGTAAACCACCTCCAGGAAGAACACCAGGACTTTCCCTTTCCTCTAAGGCTGCCTTAAAGGGTATAGGTCAGTCTTCAAGTGGGTCAGAGATTATTACGCCTTCCACCTTCCAAAAATCCTCCTTTCCTTCATCTCCTCTCGGGCTAAGAAGGACCCTAGGAAGGCAGCGGAGGAGATAAACCCCGCCTTGCCTTCCACGTTCAGTTGCGGGCGGGTGGGAGACGGGCTCTTCCCGGACCACACTGACACCAACTAGGGAAGGCCACCGAGCGTCTCTCCCGCACCCTCCCCGAGCCTGGCTCCTACGAGGGGACTTAGAGCAGTAGGAGCCCAAGGAGAAACACACAAGGTAACTACCTGAGACTCCATCCGGGTGGGCCGCTCCGCCCACGGAGGCGAGGTTCAAAGGGCCGAGAGGGTCCACAGGCGCCTCGCAGCTCCTCCCGCGCCGCACAGCCCCTCCCGCTCCGCATAGTCCCTCCCGCGCCGCACAGCCCCTCCCGCTCCGCATAGTCCCTCCCGCGCCGCACAGCCCCTCCCGTTCCCGCTGGGCTCCCAGGCCACGCCCACTCAGGGCGGTGCGCCTGGGCCTGTTCCTCCCGCGGCGGGCGTAGCGGCTTTAAGCGGGGGCGGGAGTGCGTGCGGCAGCTTTGCCGCGGCCTGTATTTCGGTGGATGTCGTGGGTCTGAGCTGCTGGAGGCTCGCCGCGGAAGTCGGGGTAAGTGTGGGAGAGAAGTGGAACGACCCCGGGAGGCGCGAGCGGCGGCTACGACGGGTGCGGCGCAGTCCAGGAGTGGGGAGATTTCTGCGGCGGCTCCGCCGGAGTGATCGAGAAAGGCCGGGCCCAGCCCTAGCTACAACGTCCGCCACTACCTGGTCGAGCTGGGGAGCAACGGGAGGCGGAGGGTTAGTGGCGCGGATATTGGCCCTCGGCGCTTTCCGTAGCACGACCGGGGAGGCGGGCGCTCGCTGTTTGGGGACGGCGACAAAAGGAGGGAAGCGGAGGGTCTTTTGAGCCTGGGAAGCTAGAGTGTGGGATTTGAGCCCCGTTCCCCCGCGGCGCCCCCGGCTACTCTGGCACCTCCCGGCCTCCACGCAGGCACCTGGCTCGCCTGGCCCAGCGTGAAGAGCTAAGGTAGTGGTGAGGACAGCGCCCCTTCTGGCCCGGCGGCGCCGCCTCAGGGTGCGGGCGACGGGAGGCGGGGCCGTTTGCTGTAGTGCGGGAGCGTGCAGCCTCGGGTCTTCCTACTGGGGCTCCGTGGGAGCCAGGCCTGGAATCTCGGCCCCCGGGCTCTTCGAGCTGCTCTCCATCAGACAGGCGGGATGGTGGGGTGGGACGTTTTCGCACATTACCGCCCCCACTCTCCGGCCTTGAAAGCCGAGGCAGGCCCCTGGGGGCCCTGGGAAATGGAAGAGTTGACGAATCCGATGAAAAAAAGGAGGTCCGAGCCTTTAAGGAGTTTGGGGACGATCAAATATGTCTTAGCCAGGGAGAGGCCGTGACCCTGAATCTTGGGTTCTCGTGGATGAGGATGGGGGTGTGTGTGGGGCCTTCTGCATTTGGAGGAGAGCGTGCTTCCTGAAAAAGGAAGCAGTATTTTGGTCTTCTTCATCTAGCAGGGTTGACAGAATCCCTCCCCTTGGTCTCTTCCTGCCCTGAGCCAGCGGGACTCTGGTCCTCCGGTGGGACTTCTGGTGGGCTGTGCTAGAATGGAACAGCTGTGGGTATCCTCTCTGCATGGAGCAGTGCTTTTAGTGTTCTGGGAGAGTGGCCAGAGGCTTTGTGGTGTCAGGGTGTCCCCATCATTTAGGCCAGAAGTGTGAACTGCAAGACAGTGTATCCGTTAGGGCAAAGCTTTTTAAAGGCCTCCAGAAGAGTTATTGGTATCTCTGTTGAAAGAAAATCAAGTCAGGAAACTGCCTCTTAAGGTAGAGTGAAATTAGATATATACAAGGAGGATGGGTAAAAGCAATTTCCCCAGGTTCTCTAGAGTCTTCTGTGAGGGCTTTTAAAGTAGAATCTTAAGTTTCCCTCTATTTTTCAGTCTGAAGTGGCATTTCTCCAAGTGTGGTCGACAGCCTGTTTCCGACTCACTGAGGTGCTAATTTTTTCATTTATTCAGTGAGCATCTTTTGAGTACCAACGGTGTGCCAGCTGCAATTTACAGCTTCCTGGATTCCTCACTGTACTCTGTTTCTGGGTTATGCTTGGGAATCCATTTTGGCTCCTTGTGATTTAATGCACATTGAAGTTTGATATAACAAGTCACGTAGGGCAGAAGTGGCCAAACTACAGTCAGCTGACCAATTCTAGCCTGATGCCTGTTTTTATACAGCTCATTAACTAAGAATTGTTTTTAAATTTTTCTTTGTTCATCCTCACCCACGGACATTTTTTTGCATTTATCTTCAGATAGAGCAGGAGGGAGAGAGGGAGGAAGAGGAAGAAACATCAATGTGAGAGAGACACATCGACTGGTTGCCACCCGCACAACCCCAACCAGGGCTGGGGACAAACTGCAACTGAGGTACATGCCCTTAGCAGGAACCGAACCCAGGACTCTCTGATCCACAGGCCACGCTCTAACTGCTGAGCAACCAACCAGGGTCGTTTTTACATTTTTAAAATGGTTGTGAAAAAGTCAAAAGAAAGCCCTGGCCGGTTTGGCTCAGCGGTTAGAACGTCAGCCTGTGGTCCACGGAGACCCGGGTTCGGTTCCCGCTAAGGGCATGTACCTTGGCTGCAGTTTGTCCCTGGCCCTGGTTGGGTTGTGTGGGTGGCGGCCACTCGATGTGTCCCTTTCACATTGATGTTTCTCTCTCTTCCTCTCTCTCCTTCCCGCTCTATCTGAGTGAAAAATGGAAAAATGTCCTCGGGTGAGGATTAAAAAAAAAAAAAAAAAAAAGTCAAAAGAAAAATAATGTTTCATGACATGTGAGAATTATATGAAATTAAAATTTCAATGTCCAGAAATAAAGTTATATTAGATCATAGCTGCTTTTGTTCATTTATATGGTGTCTGTGGCTGAGCAGTTGTGACAGACTGCATGGCTGCAAAGCCTAAAATATTTACTCTCTGGCTCTTTGTAGAGAATATAGAGAGTTTGCTGACTCCTTGCTTAGGGAAAGAAGGAAATATGATAAAAAAGGAAAGCCTCTGTCTAGAAAATTCATTTAGGAAATTAATACATAAAATGGATTTAGGTAAATTTTATGTTATTTTATTTTTTAGTTAATCCTCACCCGACGATATTTTTCCATTGATTTTTTTTTTTTTTTTTTTTAAAGATACAGTGGAAGGGAGGGGGAGAGAGAGAGAGAGGAACATGGATGTGAGAGACACACAGATTGGCTGCCTCCTTCACGACTCTGAAGGGGTGGGGATCAAACCTGCAACCCAGGCATGTGTTCTGGACCGGGAATTGAACCTGAGGCCCTTCTGTCTGCAGGCTGATGTTCTAACTGAGCCAAACTGGTTAAAAAAATTTATTTTTAGCCTCATTGGAGGACATTTTTGCATTTATCTTCAGATAGAGCGGCAGGGAGAGAGGAAGGAAGAGAGAGAGAGAAACATCAATGTGAGAGAGACATATTGACTGGTGGCCACCCACACGACCTCAACTGGAGCCGGGGACAACTTGCAACTGAGGTACGTGCCCTTAGCGGGAACCGTACCCGGATCTCTGTGGTCCATGGGCCGACGCTCTAACTGCTGAACCAATCAGGCCAGGGCCAGGCTGGTAAATTTTAGTTTTTAAAAAGTAGAGGGGCCCGGTAGAGGGGCTCATTGTTGAGCATCGACCCATGCACCAAGAGGTCACGGGTTTGATTCCTGGTCAGGGCACATGCCCATGTTGTGGGCCCGATTCTAAGTGGGGACATGCAGGAGGCGGTCAATCTATGTTCTCTCTCATTGATGTTTCTATCTTTCTCTTCCTCCCTCTCCTTTCCTCTCTCTCTAAAATCAATAAAGAAAAAAAAGAAAAATAGAGGGAATACCCAGCTAGTATGGCTCAGTGGATTGAGTGTCACATCCCATGGACTGAGAAGTCCTGTTTCAGTTCCAGGGCATATGCTGGATTGTGGGCTCGGTCCCTGGTGGGGGCATGCAGGAGGCGGCCGATCGATGTTTCTCTCTCACACTGATGTTTCTCTCTCTTTATCTCCTTTCCTCTCTCTTAAAATATATCTATATCTGTCTGTCTATCTATCTATCTTTCTGTCTATCTCCATCCATCCACTGGGGATCTGGCCCACAACCTGGGCATATGTCCTGACTGAGATCCGAACCAGCAACCTCTTGGTGCATGGGTCATTGCTCAACCATTGAGCCACACCAGCCAAGCAATAAAAACATATTAAAAAAAATAAATAAACTGTGAACCCGTCTTTAAAAAAAAAAGTAGAGGGGATAGTGTATTCTGGATTAATGTAAAAGTCTTTAGATAAATGCAGACATTTAGGTAGGAATTTATTATTTTTTAATATGTTTTTATTGATTTTTTTAGAGAGAGAGATGAAGGAAGAGAAAGATGGAAACATTCATGTGAGAGAGAAACATCTATTGGTTGCCTCTTTCACGCCCCCATCTGGGATTGAGCCCACAGCCCCGGCATGTGCCCTGACTGGGACTTGAACTAGGACCTCTCAGTCCATGCATTGATGCTCAATCCACTGAGCCCCACTGGCCGGGCCAGGTAGGATTTTCATAGAGATTGTAAATCTGTGCCCTTAATAAGTTGGCTAATTTATATGTTTCTCTTCATAGCTGGGTGAACTCATGGACCTGATACTTTTCTCTTGAGAAATAAATTAGATAAAAAGAAAAATGGCATTTGTTGCGACACAAGGGGCCACAGTGGTTGACCAAACCACGCTGATGAAAAAATACCTTCAGTTTGTGGCAGCTCTCACAGATGTTAATACCCGTGAGTTGATTTTTTTTGTCATTAAGAAATGGATTAATGTGAATCATTTATCTCGGTTCAAATAATGTGCACATGGAGATAAATATAACTTTAACTTTTGTTCTAATTTCCTCTTTCTCTGCCTAGTGGAGAAGCAAAGTGATGATCAATACTGGCTGGAGTTCCGAAGAGGCACGCGCGCGCGCGCGTGTGTGTGTGTGTGTGTGTGTGTATCTGTCCTTGTCTGTGCATGCACATGTATGTCTGGGAGTATGAATGTCCATGACTGATTGTAGGGAACTAGTTATGTGCCTTCTGTTGGACCATGATAGTCAAACTGATAAGATCTGATTGCTTCTTTTATTAAATCGAATAATTTTGGGAACATCATTAACATAATTTCATTACCTGATGATTTTTTTTTTTGGTCATTTTACAGCTGATGAAACAAAGTTAAAAATGATGCAAGAAGTTAGTGAAAATTTTGAGGTATGATCTTTTTATTTTACATTTTTAATTTTGAGCTGAATAATGTCATGG